ACGCTCGCTCTTCTTCAGGGTAGAGCGAGGCTTCTTCGGGAGACGATGTAGGCTTGTTCATCGTCTCAACCACCTTCATGGCTGCAAAAAATCAGCGGGGTCTCCTTGTCGCCCAGCTGATTGAGGTCGTACACACTCTGCGCACGCCGCGCTTGCGCCAGCAACAAATGAGGGCAGTATCCCAGTCGCGCCATCACATTGCGACTGACGATAACGTCGACCAGGCCATCTTGAAGTGGCATCGCGGCCACCCAGCACTTCAGGTTCGATAACACCAACGTTCCTTCGGCCGTGTCGAACGTCAACCGCAGCTTGACTTCGCGGTCCACTGTAAGTTTCATGGCCTCCATGAAGCCGCCCAACTCGATCGGTCGGTCCAGTTGGCGCACCGCCAACGTAAAGTTACCGATCTTTTCGACGCGCACCAGGAACGTTGGCGACACTACCGATTGATCGGCGCCGCTGTCCAAGAGCGCCAACGCCGTCACACCATTGACATCACACGCAACCGTGCGTGGACAGTCAATAATCAACGCGTCCTTGGAGCCCACGGCAGCTACAATAATCTTGCTCTTGGCGTCGTCCCTCTTCTCCGACGCTGCGGACGACGTCCCGTGAGGTTTCTTAAAGCCCTGGTCCAACAGACTCTGCGCTTCACCTGGCTACATCTTGGGGCACTTGAATACCCGGTGTTCGTCGCTGCCACACTTCAGGCAGCCGTTTCCACTTGACAACTCTGCCGCGGTAGTCGACGGCGTTTTCACAGACGCGCCGCCGTCATGCTTCTTCGTCGGCAAGAATCGCCGAGCCTTTTCGCCATACTGTCTTGGCGGAATCTGGTCGTGCTTCCTCTCCACGACCAGTTGCGACTCGAACAACATAAAGTTGTCCATGAGGGTCACAAGCCAACGGCAAAACGAACGCACGTCCGACTTGTACGCCTTGTTCATTTCGCGAGTTAACTGTCTTTCGACAGTCGCCTTCAATTGATGCGGCCGGATCGCCGCCGTCAATATCTTCACCGACTGCTTCGGCTCTTGCTCCGGCAGGTGAGCAACGTCCAGTTGCTCCAACTTCTCGTAGAAGTCGGCCAGCAGTCTTCCCACACGCGACTCGGCGTCGCGTATCTTCGTGTCCATCTTCAACGACGCCATGGCCTTCGCCACGGCGTCGAGGTCCAATTCCTGCACCTCTCGTGCAGACAGGAAATAGTCACGCCTGTCGTTCTCTGTGATGTCTTCGAACGACTTCCCGAAATCATGTGCGCAAACACGCGGCACAATCTTCTGATCGATGCACGCCGCCAGCGGCATCAGAATCAAGGTACCGCCTATACCGCGGTTCAGCACTTCTATGCGTCGCGAGTACGCGAGGTACTCGTCCATGAACTCGCGGCGATCACGCTTCGTGCTTCCCTTGTACGTGGGCGAAAACGGCACTTGCTGCACGACCATCAGGTTCTCCAGCCGAGGCGCTTCGGCGGCTCGGCCACTCGTAAATGCCGAACGCTGATTCGTCCCTTCGGCAAAAAACCCCATCGTTCGCTGTCGCGGCGAACCTTTTGATTCAGCTCTTCTACCTTGTAGTGTTGCTGACGCATCACATCCAATGCTTGTCGGAGCATTTCTTGGTGCGCTTCTGAGACTCTGGCTTGCTCAGCCATCGCTCTCTTCAGCTCCTCTTGCTGACGCACCAACTCCTCTTGCTGTCGCGATAGAACCGCTCGCGACTCTTCTTGTTCCTGGCGATTCTTATCCATCGCCGCTGCCATGGCCAGCTGTCTGGTCGTTTCTTCTTCCAGACGTTGCGCCATGGGACTTTGCTGCGCAAGGAGCTGCGCCAGCTGTTCGTAAGTCATCTGGTTCAAATGACTCCATGTCGCAGCAGCGCGCTCCACGCTCTGCATCCGTAGCTCGTCTATCTCCGCTTGGGTCGGCGGAGGTAAAGGCACGGCCACCACGGTCTCCATCGACCGTGTACGTGTCACACGAGCTAGCCAGCTCGTGAACGGTAGACCTTCTTGTTCCAATCTTGAACGACAAGTAGCAGGCTGCTACTAAAGAATTCTTTGTTGCGTCTCCACCTGACGGACCTCGCGAAGTCCGTATCCAAAGGCAAATCACGAAGTGGATTCCCCCCAGTAGCTGCTAGCCACTGGGCTTCACACTACCTTAATCAGACTGCAGATCCCAGCCACTCGTCCAATTTGCCAAACGAATCGTTCGGCATACTACCCAAGGGAACTAAACCCTTGGGCTTCCTCTTGGAGGGGGTCCAGGGGCTCTGCGAATGGCAAATTCGCAACACATGGTGACACGATATTCTCGATGCATTCCTTGCCAACGAGCGCGGATAGAGGAATGTGGAGTTCCTGCAATCCTGTTCCCTGTTCAACGTCGAAACAGGTATGAGAGCGTGCCTTCAGCGGAAGCAGAAGACTCCGTCCGCTTTGTCGGGGCGACACAAGAAAACGCCCACTTGATCGACTGGAACGGCAGCATGAAACTTGTACTTGTGGTACTCCACGACGAGTTGAGCTTAGTCTCACAACACGGGCGACACAAGCCCTGACCAGGATGACGCCATGTGAAGACTGAGCACCAGTGGACTGGCACCGATGACTATGTCTCTTCAACAATAGGATGCAACCAAAAAGTGAAGATCGGCACAATTTGCCGCCACTGGCTTGGCTGCATTAGCCACTCAGACAACAATGCCCGAAAGGTCTTCAGGGTGATCTTCATGGCACTTTCGACTGTGCCATTGGCCCAAGGACAACGTGCCGAGTAAAGTGATGATATGCCCCCAGCACGTGCTGGAGCTCCGCGATGACTTCGTTCTTGAAATGTGACCCTCGTCGGTCACCCAGTGATAGCAAACACCAAATACAGCAAATCATTGCAGTAAGCAACGCGCAACCATTTGTGCGTTGGCGACATCAGTCTCCCAAAACCACTTGAACTGGGAAAAGTTGTCCTTGGCTACGAGCAGGTAGCCATCGTCCATGTAAAGGAAATCCCAATGAAGGATTTCGTTGGGCATCGTGGCATTTGGAGCCATGCCAAACGGACGGAGCACATGACCGCCCGTCGCCGCGCAGTGTAAACAGCGGCCAACAAAAAGACCATGTTCGACCAGCAAACAGCACTTGTCTCGTAGCATTTACGCCATGATGACCAACAATGCCAAAATGTGCAACAACACAAAGTCGCATTTGGAGTTCGACTTCAGATAGGGGAATCCAGATTGCGCCAGACGCCGTTTTGAGCACAGGCAGGTCCTCGCCAGCCACAACCTCCTGGCTTTCGACCAAGTCGATGTCGGGAACCGCGCCTTCGCCGACCGCACGCAGCTGTGCATAGATAATTTCTGCCATGCTTGACCACACGAATTCGTCGCTTCGCAGCGGCGAAATCTTCAACGGCACATGCACAATCGGACAGATTGTCGGGGAATTTGTACCCCAGCGGGATAGTAAATCCGCCCAGACGTTCGCTTCGCCGGCGATATCATAGATCGTGTAATCATACCCCGTCAAGAGTATAGCCCATCGGTCGAGCTTCGCGGCAGTATACTTCGGGATCGCCGCGTTGACACTTGTAGGGTTGAAAATAAATTTCAAGTTCGCGTGATCGGTAAATAATGCGAATCCACCCGGCTTGTGGAGAAGATAATCTGCGCGCTTCAAGCACTCGACAATCTAGAACGCTTCCTTCTCCACAATAGCCCATCGTTGGGCAGCGCCAGAAAATGTGCCGCTCAAAAATATGAGAGGCTCATGCTCTTGAGCATCGAGCTCATGATCCCCCTGCTCTGGCGGGATCTGCGTAACCACGCCGCCCCAGTGCAAGTCACTGGCGTCTGCAAAGACGCAGACAAGCTTATCGCCTTCGGGTGAGCCAACGTCACGGCCTGCCCGAGAACCTTCTTGCACTCCGCAAGGCAGCCCACATGGCTGGCATCCCAGGCGGCTTCCGACAGCGGAATCTTCGCGACCTTCTGGCGAGTGCGGCCACCTGCCAACGTGTAAACACATTCCATCAAGTCAGCCACAAGTCAGCCAAAGGCTTGACCACCACATTGTAGCGTGGTATGGACATGCGCATCCAGTTCATCGCGCAGATGAATTGCTGGAGGTCCTGGCCGGTCACTGGCACCTTCAAATCTTGTAGCGCCTTGATGCGCTCGGGGTCATGCTTTACCCCTTCGCCAGACACGACGCGCCCATACCAGCGCGCTTCGGTTTGATAGAACCGACACTATTTTGGGTTCAACTTGAGCCCACGGAACTCGCAAATCTTCAGTACGCGCTCCAACGCGGCCAGTACACCGTCCTTGGTCTTGTTGTAGCCGAGTAAATCGTCTAGCCAGATGAGCAGACAGCGGTATAGCTCGTCCGCAAACATCTCTTGCACATATGACTGGCAAAACGCCACGCTGTCCGTGCCGCCCATCAACACTCGGGTTGGCGTGTAAACGCGGATATCCGTAAGGAACGAGAACATCTCCTGCGAGTCAGAATGCAGCGCAAACTGCCAATAGCCCTCGAAAAAGTCCAAGGTGAAAAAGACTTGGGCGCCACAGAGGTGGTCGAGGATCACCTCTAGCATTGGCATCGGCCAGAGGATCCGCTCCGTCTGAGCGTTGACTGGACTAACGTCCACTGTCATGCGAAATTCGTTCGCTTCGGGTTTTTTCACGATAAGTGGTGCCGAGCACCCCTTCGACCGCGGATTGCGGTAGCATAAACCAGCCGCCTGGAGTTCTTCCACGTGTCTCGCCATGAACTCCCGCTGCTCCTTCGAGGAGCGTCGTGCCTTGCAGCGCACATGCTTCGTGTCAGCTTTGAGAGTCAAACGTAGAGGCTCCACCTTGACAGGCGGATCCCGACCCAGCTTGAGTCGGAACACGTCTTCGTATTTGACGAGCAGCCTCCCCAGCTCTATGGCATAGTCATCATCGCATCCTGCAACTTGGCACTCGCCGATCTTCTCCTTGAGCTTTGCGCGCACCGCCGCTTTGTCTTCGTCTACTGACCAGTCCACGTCAACTTGTGGAAAGCCAGATTATTCGTCATCCACGTTTAGCTCCGCTTCTTCCGGCGCTATCGGTGGCTGCTTGTTGTCTTCTAGGACCTTGATTGCCGCCATGAGACTCGAATCTTGGTCGCCCAGCTGGCTAAGGTCATAGCCGTTTTGAGCACGCCGCGCAGCCCAATAAAGCTATTGGAGAATATCGCAAACGAGCCATCAATGCACGGCTCACGATAAAGTCGCCGAGACCGCTGTTCAGAGGAGCTGCGGCCATCCAGCACGTCAGGTTCGTCAGAACCAGATGACCTTCGTCCTAGTCGAACGTCAACTTCAGCTTGACTTCACGGTCGACGGAAAGCTTCATTTCTTCCATGAATCCACCCAGCTCCAGGACAGAATCCAACTTGCACGCAGGCGCAAGCAAAGCGCCGGCTTCTTTCAGCCGCGCAATCAATGCAGGCGAAATCACCGATTGATCCGCGCCGCTGTCAAGTAGCGCCAGCGCTTCCATGCCATTCACAGAGCAGTGCACGGTGCGCGGCGCTTGCGGAGCTTCGAGTTTCGGCTTCTTTGAGTCGATCGCCGCGCCAACCACGTTCTTCTTGGCTGCCAGCATGCCGCTTGGAGCGGCTGCAGGCGTGTTTGCCGCAACAGGAGGACGCTTTGCCCGTTGTTCTAACAGACGATGCGCTTCCTCCGGCGCACACTTGGGACATTGCACGACTTTGTGGTCGTCACTGCCACACTTCAGGCAGCCTTTTGCAAACAGCACTTGCTTTGCGGGCACCACGCCTTTCGCTTGGCCATCAGGCTTCCGCTGTTGCGGTTGCCGGTATGTCTTGCCGTACTGGAGACGCGGTTTCTCTTCTGGTTTCTTCTCCGCCATCACCATTTGCGACTCAAACAACATGAAGTTGTCGAGTAACTGAATCAACCAGCGGTCAAACGCAGGCACGCTGGCCTTGTATGCCTTGTTTGCTTCCCGAGCGAGCTGCCGCTCTACCGTGGCCTTCAGCGCCGCGGGTCGGATTGCAGCCGTCAAAATCTTGACCGACTGTTTCGGCTCTTGGCTGGACAGGTGAACCACATCCAACTGCTCGAGCTTCTCGTAGAAATCGGCCAGCAATCGACCGACGCGGGATTCCACATCGCAAATCCGCGTGTCCATCTTCAAGGGAGCCATAGCCTTGGCAACCCAATCGAGGTCAAGTTCATGAACTTCACGGGCACTCAGAAAGTAGTCCCGCCATTCGTCTTCAGTGATTTCTTCGAACGGCTTGCCGAAATCATGTTCACAAACACGAGGCACAATCTTTTGATCGATGCATGCCGCCAATGGTTCGAGGAAGAGGACTCCTCCCACACCACGGTTCAGCGCTTCCACGCACCGAGAGTACGCCAGATACTCATCCATGAACTCCCGGCGCTCACGCTTCGTGCTGCACTTGTACATCGGGGCCAGCGGCACTTGCTGAACACCCATAAGGGTCTCAGAACGGCTCATCACCGCGGCGCCGATTGCGCAGGGGGTCGCTGATTGGTTGCAGCGGCAAAGAGCCCCCAGCGCTCGCTATCACGGTGTACTTTCTTGTCAAGCTCCTCCACCTTGGAGTGCTGTTGCCTCCTTGCTTCAGAGGCTTGCTGTAACAACGATTGGTGATCTCCAGTCACCCTGGCTTGCTGAGCCATCGCCAACTTGATCTCTTCTTGTTGGCGTCGCAATTGTTCTTGCTGCTTCGACAATATTGCACGCGATTCTTCTTGTTCGCGGCGGCTATTCTCGATTTCAGCCGCTATCACCACCTGTCGGGCGGATTCTTGTTCCAAGCGCACGGCCATCGCCATCTGCTCGTACGTCATCTTGTTGAATTCACTTGACGACACCGCAGCACGCTCGACGTTCGGCATCCGGAGTTCGTCCAACTCGGATGGCCCCGGAGGAGGCAAGGGGTGATCTTGTCCCGCCACCGCCATATGCGGCATTGGTACAGACACGACGGTCTCCATCGACCTCGTTCTCGTCACTCGCGCCAAAGCATTTGGTATCGGGGACGTTTTTTTCATATTCACAGCAAGTAGCTACTAGCTACTAAAGAATTCTTTGTTGAGTCTCCACCTGACGGACCTTGTGAAGTCCTGTCTCGCGCACACAAAAGGCTAACCACAAAGCAGTGGTCACGGGCAAATTACAAAGTGAATTCCCTCTCGGGGGCTGCTCCCCCCAGGGCTTAAACCCCCCCCTAATCGCTACACTACAATTAGCCAATCATAGCACATGTAGGATTAACTTGAACGGAGTCTTGGATAGTTTCTTGGATGCACTCCATGGCTCCTGAATGTCCAATTCGCAACAGTCCCAGCCTGTAGGAGCCCATCACATTTTGGACAAAACAACTCGCTTCATTCTAATACGTACGCCAACGACTGTTCCCCAAATCGTTCGTGAAAATTCAAGTGCTTGGATGGGGCATTCCCGACGAGTGGAAACTATGGAACGGTCAATAACACGCACAATTGGGGCGCACTCGTCGTCGTCAAGGCACCGCATGCAGGACATTGTACACGAGATGTCGTGCGCGATTTTTCGACGGATGCGTCGCGGGCTGTGGCAAAAGTGTCCACACACATACGTATATTCATCTCGAAAACATTTCTAACGCGTTTCGCATATTCGAAACGTTCTTCCATGTGTATCGCAGCACCATGGGAAGTGGCTGTGGATAGCGTTGTAAGTCATTGTTGTAGTGGGCGACGGCTGTTTTGACGAGTCGCACCTTCGTAGCGTCACGACGCCACTTGGACGCACGATTGAAAGGGTCTAAAACCCTCGAGTTTGGGTTGTTTCAATGGATCATCCTCCTCATACTGTATTCGTACCTCTTAGTATCCTCGTTCTGCATGAATGAAAAACTCAGCCAAAACCTGGATTCGAACCCACGGCCTATGGGACCAGAAAATCACCTTTCTTACTTTCATACGGAGACAATATTTATCACGGAATTAGCTGAAAAAACTCTCATTGGCCAAAGAAAGAACTGACGACGCACAGCTATTTTTTTATGATTTGCCAGGATGCCGTAGTAACGATCAGGCCAACTTGCAGCAATGACAATCAAAATCTTCAAATCGAAGCTACTCGTTACGCTTGGCTCGGATTACCTTTCAATCCAGCTCAAACTCTTCGTCGTTTGACGTAGATGTACCTAGAACATCACAGAACCCTGAGATACAATTCGTTTGGACAATGTTACGCGACGTCTTCGATGGCGACCAAGCCACAACGGACGGAAGTCTATGTGCGACTCTCGTTGCACAACTCAAACGGCCGACTGAAGTAAGGCGAGCTGAAGCTTCTGTGTGACGAGTTCGTTGTCACTAAGAAATCCTTGTCAACGATCTGGCGGCGACCATGCGAAACAAAGTCGCTGGTGGTTGAAGGCGTATAAAGACTTGGACCGCTGCGTATTGGACAAGACGTTTATGACTTGAAGAAAGTGATGGAGTGTGTATTGTAGATGTATGGCGACAATGTTTACAAGATACCTCACGCAAGCAAGGACAAGCTGCTCGAGAATGGTCATTGCGTCAACGTGTTGAATGCGACGAGAAAATGTACGCTGCTATTGGGCGATGGTAGAGCGTATCGGCATTGTACAAAGTGTGGACCAACAATTCCAGTCTCATGTGCTAAAATACCTTGGAAGTAAGCAGGGGTGGTAAAAACCCGATTCGTTTCACCAGACAAATCGGATTTAAGGTTTTAATAATTAAAACCTGGTTCCTGGGTATTAAAACCATGGTTTTATTCACGACCTTGCGGCAGTGCTTACCGAGGGCGGATTTGTGCTGGTGCGGGTTAACGTAGTCGGAGTAGAGACGCCACAGGTCACTGCCTTACCAACTACATTTACACCCTCCTGAAGCAGCATCGACATTGCTCGTGCCGTTCAATGGATCACCGTCTGCGCCGGACCTAGGATCAGCGTTGATCTTACTGTCGTCGGCAATGTCGCTTTCGATGTTGATAACGATGGCCTCCGCCTCCACAACGATGTCAGACATGATCACAATTGCATTGGAAACTGCCAATTGCCCACCTCTCAACAAGGAGAGCAGTCCGCACCTCATAGAAATAACCGATTTTCATAATAAAACCTGATTTTGTCGACCTTAGACAATCGGTTTTTTTATATTAAAACCTAACAAACCTGATAGCAAAAAAGGACCAAGATCTGCCACCCTTGGAAGGAAGGACGTCCCAGGTGGGTTTTAGTCCTCTCCATTCCATGAATTTTAGCGGCCCCCAGCAATCGCCGACCGCACCCACCATCCACCAGACGCCACATCGACAGCCACCGAGCGGTACGACCTAGCAACTGTCGATGTATACATGTACAACTGGTCCAACATGGCATGCCGATGCTACAGCTCATGAGACTTTTAGCCAATCATGCCGCGATGGACGATTTGGAATAAAAATATCTGACGAACATTCTTTCACATGGACGACCGTGAGAAATATTTCCACACGTTGGACGATTTTGAGAAAAAAAAATATAAATGTGGACATGAGGCCAAAGAAAAGGTAAACTTCGGAGTAGTATCGTAATATTACTACGTAGTATGCCCAACTTAACGGCGTAATAGTATTGGATGGGTCTTGACCGGCAATTTATCCGCGACGAAAGTTGTCGTCGAGACGAGCAATTTCTCGACAACGGCGGCCGAGTGCCATGAGCAACGACGCATCGTTTCTCCAC